GGGGGTTTAGACAGCGCCGAGAAGCTGAACAATTGCTGGGGCCTACAAGTAGCGCAAGCTCTTCTGCAGGGAATAGCGTAAACAAAAAAGTGAAACCTGGAAGCGACATGGCCGTGACAAAAATCACTTATAATAATCTGAATCAGATGCCTCAAATTTCAGTTCTTTTAATAATAAGTTCCATTTCTTCACTGCTGATGGGGGCAGTCTAGTGGTTAAAGTGTTCGCTCGTCACGCCGAAGACCTGGGTTCGATTCACCATTGGGCCAAATATTTCGCAAATATGAATTGTCAATGCAAGATGTTTTTATATAAATAACGGGTCTAGATTATCCACCGAAACAGATTCCATTTGGCGTAAAGGGAAAAAATAGCTGTGAAAATCAGTGATGACACCAGGTGTTCATGAAAAGGTTGAGCATGTCCGACCCCACCGATATCACCCGCTGCTCACACAATTTGCATAAAAAAGTAAGCATCTATCGCCTGATGCCGCACAGCAGTACCATGTGATGACCGCTTGTAAACTAGGCAACTAATATAAAAAAACAACCAACAAAAAAACCCATAAAAGTACTAAGTGTAAATAATTCGGGAAGCAAATATTTTCTTTGGCAGATGAATGTTGAATACTGAAATTTTGTATGGAGACTGGAAAAAAATTCAGCTTCAGCTGCAAAATTATTTTTTTTAATTCTTTCAATATCCAACTGAAACATTTATGTGTCCTGTATGTTATACCGCTGTAACAACGTGTGTCTTCAACGACGTTTATGGTGATATACAAAACTAGTGCTATGTACCCACGGTACCGTGGTTTACACGAAGATCAACGACGCTAAAGCGCAAGCTCGACGGTGGTTTGGGTTAATATCAGGCACACTCGTGTGAGTGAGTGGTTTGGTTTAACGCCGCAAGGAACAGTATCTCAGTAGTGAAATGGGGTTTAACGTCGCGTCCAAGATTATTGCACTTATATAGCGACGTGCATGTACGTGTGTGGCTGCTTGTACTAGTCATGACTGATGCCGATTTATAGTGCTAGCTCACTGAGATACCATGCCGCAGTTTAACATGAATACCCCACTCAGACACAGTATACTGACTCCGAGCCGACCAGTCCTTGTTTTAGCCCCTTAATGCCGAGCGCCAGACAGGGTAACAACAAGTACCATCTTTTAACGTCTTTTGGTATGACGCGGCGGGGATCGAACCCCGGACCTTCCGCTCTCCGGGCGGACGCTCTACCATTAGACCACGGAGGCGGTCAAGTATCTCAGTATTGTCACGTCGTTGAAGTGATGCTATAGGCGTTAATAAACTCTGGTTGAACCCGCGCGCACAGGTATGGTGTCTAGAAACACAATCAGGGCGATTCAGTATATAATGTTACTGCACGATGTCAACTTGCAATCTTTTCTATGCCAAACCGACAAAGATACGATGTTTCAGAGCAAATGATTGCGGCAGAACGATGTCCACACTACAAAAACGACAAATGAGCTCTGAACGTCCAATCCAATATGGCCACGACATATGGTGACCTTTGATATTTGATCAAGGACAGAAGTTCTTCAGCAGCCAATAACAGTATATCAAACACCTGCTGCGGCTACTTTTCATTGTAACTTTCCATGCAAAAAGATCATAAAGAAGTCATGCAAAGAACATCATGACAACTTTGTCCCAGAAGTAGGACTCAATATAGCTGCCATCCATGATAATTCTCCAAATGTTTGCTGGTAACTTTGCAGTACGGTGCATGGAACCAAAGTTTGGAAGCGTTTGATAGGACAGTTTGAGAGGAGCAGGTTTTGGCAAACAAGTATTTGGAATAATGGTAAAATGCATGGCCAAAATATTTGGCACCATCAGATGTCCACCAAACTTGAAGAAAGAACTGTCTAGCCAGAATTATGCAAATAGTCATGACGTCATTTCTGACGTCGACGTTTTACACCACCAGGAGAAAGCCACCAGCTCCACCAACCAGCACCACCAACGCAGTCCATCATAGTCAGGCTCGGAACATTTCCGACACACCGATAGATCGAAACATGCGGACTAAGAGCTCCTGTCCTTGGTGTGCTGCTTATGTTCTGGGTGGTGTGTAAACCATGTGTCTACATGACTTCCTGCATGGATGACTAAGGGGGGCAGGTATTGATCGTGGCGATCCTGAACGACCAGGCGCCTGGCGACGCAAAAAACACAACACATCGCCGAAGGTACAGTGTCCTCGTTACAACCCATTGATGGTATTTTAGGCAGTTACGTGACTCGTAGGGCAGAGCGGAGTAAACAGCGCCGGCTATACTCTGTTTGAACGACGGACTAGAGGGTGAAGTGGGGTATAGGCCACGTTCACTATTATTGCGCTTACAAAGGGATATGTATACACTTGTGTCCGTGTGGCTGAATACCAGTCCCGGCTTATGCCGGTTTTTGCGCCAGGCAGGGTAACACCAAATACCATATTTCAACGTCTTTTGGTATGACGCGAACAGGGATCGAACAGGGATCGAACCACGACCTTCCGCTCTCAAGGCAGACGCCCTATCGACTCCACCACAGAGGTGGCAGAATAGGAAGTTCGTTTGTTTCTTTGTTTGTTTATTTGTTGTTTAACGCCGCACTCAGCAATGTTCCAGCTATATGACGGCGGACTGTTAATAATCCAGTCTAGAGGAGACAATCTAGTGATTGACATCATGAGCATTGTTCCACTCAATGGTGATACGATGACATGCATCAACCAAGTTAGCAAGCCTGACCACCCGATCCCGTCAGTCGACTCTTACGACAAGCATGGGCAATATAGTGAACATATCTTCTAGTTTACACAATACAATACAATCCTTTAACTTAGACTCTGTATGTCGATATCGTTTAAGACGATGTACGTTCATGGCCCTGGCAGAGTCTCGTGGTTTAATATCGGCAGTCCACTTCTCTCGAACTTCGGCTAACTCGAGATGCATGTCATAGTCCCGAGAACATCGAAAACCCTTATGCTGCTTACCCTTGAGATATGAATTTGCGTCAGCGTTGTCATTGTATTGAGAGATAACTCCATCACGCCTATATGACGAACTGAAAGACATATCAGTAATACTAATATTGGATGAAAGTGACTCTTCTTTAAACGAATCATGTAGGGGGTCCACGTTATAAGAGATTCCCAGCAACCTATGCTGGCCGTAAGAGGAGACTTAACTTTGTCCATTGCGTCATCGTTTCCCGACGGCGTGGATCGGTGCTCATGATATCAATCACTGGATTGTCTGGACCAGTTTCATTTATTCACATTGCTGGGGTGCGGCGTTGAATAACACAGAAAGAAATTTTGAAATGTCTCACTATCACACACTCAAAACCAATATTTTTAACCGATTTATTCACTTTAGTTTTTTAAAGGCTGGCTTTATTATACAAGTGAATACGGGGTGTGTCAGCTCCACAGCAGTGCATATTTGAACTGTTGTCTTCTGTAGCAAATAAAGAAGAGTGATATTTGCTTGAACCGGTGACTGTTTGTTCGCATTTTCTTTAAACCATAATCGCCACAGGCCCCGTTGCTAATAAAACTCTGGTAAGATTAGGAGAATTGCCTTCGAGAAATTGCAACAGTCATTGTGGTCTTCTTGGCATGCAGGCGTTGTGAATCCTGACAAATAAAGCCGTGACATTAATGACGAAATGTGTCTGAGCTTTTCAGACTTGACACGAAGTGACTCATACCCCAGGTCCTTGCAATTGACATATCAAATCGCGAACTGTTGAATATGTGAAAACAAAAAACAAATAACAAATCTATAATAACAGAAGGATAACGAATGCATTTGCAAATTATAAAAAAATATAATCTTCAAATATTTTAAGTTTGATAAATGAGGACAACGCATTACTTGATATGCTCAGTGACGACAGAAACAACGTGATTACGAATGCACAAAAATAACACAGCAGTGAGACAGCGCAAACTAGTACAACCTATACAGTGTTACCTCGTTAATCCGGACGGTATCATTTGTTTGTGTGTGAAATCGTTGTGATTGACAAGTTTCCGGATTAAGGAATCATGGATGCGGAGTACTGTTGGCGTAAATCCACGAGCATATAGACGTCCAAACACAACCGTCAGGATTGCGAATTGTCCGGATAAGTGGGGTTCCGGAATAATAAGGTGTCACTGCTGTTGAGTACACCAACATAAACGATGTTATGACAGTGCTGCATAGTTCGGTGTACAGATAATCACCATGAAGGTGAAAAGATCATAACAATGACTATATCAAAGAGTGTCACGATAAGAATTATGATGATAATAATAATATTAGCAGCAGCAACATCTATAAAAAAATAAGTATAGAAATAGCAGCCAAACCAAGATGATGGTAATACTCATACAATGATAGAACTATACTAATACAATGAAAGTACAATGCTAGGGCAATTCTGATACAATGATAGTACAATACTAATACAATGATAGTACAATACTAATAATAGTGATAATAATAGCAGAGATAATTATAATAACAGCGATTATATAAACATGCGTATAATGACAGTGCGTACAACCGAAACGATAATGATAATATAATTATAATTATAATAATAATGATAATAATAATAATAATAATTTTCTCAAATTTTATTCTACTTATATTGTTTGTTTTGTTTGTTGTTTAGCGCTGTACTCAGCAATGATCCAGTTAGATATATGTAAATAATTAGTTATGAATCAGACAATCCACAGTCGCATTTTTCTTCTTCTTCTTCTACTACTACTACTACTACTACTACTACTACTACTTTGGGGTCTGTTTAAGAAAACAACACAGAGACTATTAACTTACGCGCAAGCACATGGGACACGCACAAACATGACACAAGTAGTCCACATAACATGACATGTCTATAGCTAAAGATTAGCTTAAGCTTATACTCGTGATCATGAGGTAACCTATCTTAACTGTCACATCGTGTCAACTTACCCCACAATCCAACTCACAGCGAAGCCCTGGAATCAGGGGTGGTGCCACTGCCACTAGGAAGCACACGAGGGGTAAGGGAAGAACCTTCATGTCCGACACATTACCCCCGTTACTTTTACCTCACCCACGGAGTACGTACGCCTGTCAACACGCCCTATCCACAGCGCGGCACGGTGGCGACTGACGGGAGATCCTATACAGTTCAAGCCCGTGTTTATAAATATCGCCTATTGATTCGACTAACGGTACATATTTCAGCGAACTTCTGCCATATAGGGAAGGGCTTTGAATGGCGGGTATGGACACTTGGCTCGAAATGCCGTTATGCGTGAAACTATTAATATACCGACTGATCCACTATGCAAATACGTTTATACAGCTACATTGATATCATATACAGGGGGCAGTTTGGGAGCCTTTACAAAGCTATAGGGTATTTTACTGTTCCATTAAACACGTCTTGTGATCGGACATTGGAATGGTTTCCATACAAAATGAATAGGTGAATGCACGTGTTGGTTATGTGACTTCAAATTATATGTATTAACAGGAACCAGGGATTAACTTGGCGAATTGGAAAAATGAAAAGTAGATTGTGTATAACTTCAGTGTCAAATATTCAGTGTTTAAGTAACGGGGGTTTCGCCTCTCAGCTGTCAAATATTTATGTTTGACCATGTATATTTATGTCTCACTCGGAGATACATTTAAAATGCAAACAAAAAACACATTATATACACATATGATCACATTATATCGCACAGCGATTTATGAGACGCAATAAAACAAATTATTAAAACATAAAAGGATATTTTATAAGGAGACTAAGCTAAATAGCTAAAAATACACGAAATACATTATCTGTATAAAATCAGTTGGCACTCAATTAAAATAGCACGGCACGGTTTTGGCAACGCAAGAGATAAGATCTGGGTTTGCTAAGATACCAGAAAATATGTCTGTCCAAGACACTGCGTTCAAATAAGGTATAGCGAAGCTACACGTAGTAAGAAAGTTGGCCCTCTGGTCGTTATATATACAGTAAAGTATGTTTATAACGAACACGCTTATAACGAACTTACGGATATTACGAACTTAATTTTTGGTCCCGGCCATTTGTTGTATGGATGTTGTATATATGGTTATAACGAACTACGGTTATAACGAACTAAAACTAGTGGGCCATTTGAGTTCGTTATAACCGTAGTTTACTGTAGGACATAAAAGTAAAACATGTTCTTCGTCCTCGATACAGTCTGTACAGTTAAAACAATATCTGTCTTCATTAGCGACAAGTCTCAGGCGCTACTCAACATCTAAATTTAGGCAGTGCACTCCTTAGATTTCTTATGAGGGGATATTTTACATGTGGCTCAAAGGCATACGTATCTTTAAACAACATATATGTCCTCAGTTTATTTCTTCTTAATTTCATTCTTCTTTTGTTATCTTCTTCTCCCACTTAGTTTTATAATCGTGTAGGGTTGCTTCCCGTACTGCAGTGACAAACAAACGCCATTCTACACTGGCCAAAAAAAGAAACGCATAACAGAATAATCAGTGTTTCATTACATGTTTACTGAAATAAGATTACACAATACATAATGAAGATACAACAACCAAATTTTACACAGGATGAGGCACGTTTCTTACACTACAAACAGTCTTTTAATGTTCTAAGGGACGTCTGTGTCTGTGATGGCACTGTGCCAAAGTCAGTACCTGGTGTTACCACCACGAGTATCGATCACAGCTCTGCACCGCCTGGGCATGGACTGTATGAGTCGTTGAATCTGGCGTTGTGGAATCCTTCTCCACTCATCCTGCAAGGCATGGTTCAGCTGTTGAAGCGTCTGTGGTTGAGGCTGTCGGCGTCGTACACGTCTGTCTAGCAGATCCCACAAATGTTCAATGGGGTTTAGATCAGGCGATTTGGAGGGCCATGGCAGTTCAGTAACATTGTTGTGGGCAAGAGAATCCATGGCAACACGTGCAGTATGCGGTCTTGCGTTGTCTTGCTGGAACATCTCTCTTCTGATGTCAATGGCGGGAATAAGGTGACGTTGAAGGATTTCATCACGGTAGCGTACAGCAGTTAAATTTCCCTGCACGTGCACCAGATCTGTCCTACCATTCACGGATATGCCTGCCCATATCATGACACTTCAACCGCCGTATCGGTCGACTTCATGAATACAGTGTCGAGTGTAGCGTTCATTTCTCCGTCTGTAGACACGCATCCTACCATCATGGCGATACAACATGAACCGCGACTCATCACTGAACCATATCCTTCTCCAGTGCATTGGGGTCCATGGTCGAACATTTCTTCTCCATTGCAGACATGTACGACGACGATGATGTTGCCGCAGAACGGGCGCTGTATATGGTCTCATTGGCCGTATCCCATGCTGTCTTAGACGATTTCTGATGGGCTGCGCTGAGACTCTACGAAGACCAGGAACATTGTTAGCTGTGTATGCTGCACAGATTGTCCGCGTTTGCGAAGATGCAACACCCGGATGAAGCGGTCCTGCGCCGCACTTGTGACCCTGGGTCTTCCACCTCTCGGTCGATCTCTTGTAGAGTTGTGGAGTCTGTAGCGCTGCCACAGACGAGAAATGGTACTCTGCCTCACGTTAAAGTGCCTGGCTACTGATGTCTGACTTTCTCCAGCCTCCAGACGTCCAATGGCTCTGTTTCTACAGTCTTCATTCAGTCTTGGCATCATGAGAGTCACGTATACAGAACATCGGAGATTGATTCGCAGCAGGACTGCCAAATATTTATACCCATCGGTATAAAGGTTAAGTAGCCGTATTTGCACGTGCAGCATGCTTACAGCTCTCCATGCAATTTCTCCAAGTTTGGTTTCAAGATGCTGTATTTTGGCGACAAGTCACCAAATGTTGTGTTCGGGTGCAATAAATTAGTGTAAGGTCAATATTCACAGTTAGCAATGACATTTATATTGAGTTCAAGCCTTTATCTTTAATAACAGCCTAGTTTGAAAAACAGATTTCAGCTATGCGTTTCTTTTTTTTTGCCCAGTACATGTCCAAAGCCTGATTTCCGTAGACTTTTTACTCTAAAGATCCAATTTTTCTTCTTGCAGTTATCTGTCCATATGAATATCCTCTAGTTAATCCTGCTATTAATCGTGTTAATTATTGTTGCCCAGTGCCTAGTCAGATGACCAGTGTCGTACATATGGAGGAAGCCATCCTACATATCCCTTTATTGCTGCGTTTGGGGCATATTTTCCAAGTCCAAGGAAGAAACATATTGCCCAAATTTGCCGGCGTTTTCAGTTCCCCATATTGCCGCTCCATAATCCAACCCTGGCCATGTGGTGTCATATAGCTTGCTATACACATTGGATGGCATTCCTCCCAGTGCCTTGAACTTAGATAAGAGAAGTCATAGTGATCTGTTAGCTGATTGTATTGCGGTTTTGGCCATGATATGATAGTTTCAATGTTCTGTTGGTAGTAGTCCCATGTGATGATGCGAGTCACACAGCTGTAGTTCCACGTTCCCACTAGACTTACACAAGTCTATAAGGCAATAATTATTAGTATTAATCATATTTTCCAGATTATGTAAATAATAAGAACAAGTTACCCCTATAGGAAACTGGAGTCCTGTCCACGTATCTTGCCTTTTACGAGGATAGAATTACTACACATCCATGGACTTATGTTTCAGTACAGCCTTGGAGCAAGGCTACGTTCCCACACATGAAGAGAGATTAGGTCCTTGGAACTAAGTGGACTACATTAGACTTCTCTTGATTGATACCAATCTCATTAAAATCTGATTTTATTGTATCCACGTCAAGTGTTCGCTCGTCACGCCGAAGACCCGGGTTCGATTCCCCACATGGGTACAATGTGTGAAGCCCATTTCTGGTGTCCCCAGCCGTGATATTCCTGGAATATTGCTAAAAGCGGCGTAAAACCAAACTCACTCACTCACTCACTCCTGTATCAGAGAAAAACCACTAGTCACACAGCAACAAGAAATATAATTTTTTTATCCTCGGCGGGATACGAATCTGCAACCTCTTGATTCGTAGTTCTTCGCTCTGCAACATGTGATACAGAGACTGTTGTCGTCACAAGTGTCAATTGTCCTACTCCCCATTCACCGAGTTTGGCTAAGTTGTACATTTTATGTTAATGTCGTACAAAGTTCGTTGTAAGTCCTGGTGGTATATGCATGTGCTATGCAAGTGCCTGTGAATCTGATTTGCACATCTAATTTCAATATATGTTATACATCTTATCCATATTTGACAGATTGCCTAATGATAGGCACTTTATTGAAACAGGCTTAAAATCTAGACATGTTTAAAACCCGGATCTTCACGGATCACTAAAACCATGAAATCTTCTCTTGTCGTGCGCACGTGTTAGTTTCTTTTCGGGTATAGGGGCGGTCGGGTAGCCTAGTGGTTAAAGTGTTCGCTCGTCACGCCGAAGACCCGGGTTCGATTTCCGACATGGGTACAATGTGTGAAGCCCATTTCTGGTGTCCACCGCCGTGATATTGCTGGAATATTGCTAAAAGTGGCGTAAAACCACACTCACTCACTCACTCACTCACTCACTTTTCGGGTATAGTCCGTTCCAAATAGAGGGCGTAATTAACATCTTCCGATAAGCGATTCAACACCGTGCTGGTGATTTCGACTCAACCATGAACGAAACAGTTTCATGTATGATATAACATAGTCTGTCTTACAGACCCTGATACAAATATATATCAAATACAGCCCATGCAAGTCTATAATGTTTGGCAAGTCTAGATTACTGCAGTATCTGAAAATGAAGAGAGTCACTGGACTCCCTTTTATTATATTTTTATTAAGATAACTGAACAACTGTTTTTTTCTGTACGATATGTTCATTTCAGAGACGAGATGTTAGTCTAGATATAACACTGTAATCCTTAAAAAATCATAAATACGTTTAATCGACTGGACGCACAATGTGTTACCCATGTGTTACTCGACAGGTGGTAGATTCCTGTTTATTGTCGTGGATGTCACAGATGTAGTATAACACGCCATCCCCTTGTTATTAATATTCAGTAAAACTTCCTCATCCCGCCATCCGTTGTTTGCTCTTTAGTTATGCTAACAGCGTACGGCCCCCTTTAACACATGGTGAGTTTACCTAGTACCCAGTGCCTGATTGCCTGACTTTAATGATATAGCGTGCGCGCATCGCAGTCGTTGTAACCTCACCGCGTC